GAACCGCTCGAGCAGGCACTGATGCAGATATTTGGCTGAGAGTTTATGTTATATGTGCCACATAAGACAGAATGAGCTGGAAATCTAAGCAAAAAAAATAAAAATCAATGTGTATATTACAAGCTCTTAGGCTTGTAAATAAACATTTGGCATGCTTTATGGTAGTCCTTTTCTGCCATATATCAAGGAAAACAAAAATCTTTATGGAATAAAAAGATTATTTTGTTTTTTTATATTGGAGTGTTGCGTAAAAAGCAAGCTACACAGTGCATCAGGCTCCTTCCTGCTCTTGCAGTGTAGTGTGTATACAGTAGATGTGCGAATGTGTTTTATGTGCAGGTTAGCATTGCAGCATTAAACTGTCCTGTCGGCTCCTGAGCGCTTCCGAACAACCTTCTCCTCATTGACCTGGTCCACCGCCAGTGTCTCCAGCTCTGCTTGCGGTGGGGCCAGGGAAGAGATGCCATGCGGGATGCGGTGTGCCACTCCCACATGGGCCCTGTACTGATGGTCCCATGCAGGGCTGTGACGAGGACTGGCTGTGGCACCCAGGGTGGGGACAGGGGAGCGCTCAGAGGCTATAGGAGGGATAACTGCAGGCCGTTCACGCACTACTTGCGGTTCAGGAGACTCTCTTCCAGCCTGCAGGAAGGGTGTGGGGTCAGGCATGGCATCAACTGTCTCTCGCAGAACCAGCCGCCTGCCGTCTGATCCGAGCCGGTACACTTCTGTCAGCTCTGGGTGAAGAGGCTGGGAGAGACTTTTCTTCATGCGGCGGCGTGGGGTTTCGGGCTGCCTGTCCTTGGGCGGTGGAGGTGTGGGCTTGTATGAGGTGACTGGACTGACGTTGGGACTAGCCTCAGAGGAACTGCCAGCTAACAGCTTCTTCTTAGTGGCATGAAGTTGTGAGGTAAGGTAAGCAATCGTGCTCGCTCTCTGCTCCAGCTCCCCGGACAAAACAGCCAGCTTGTGGCTCTTCATCTTAAGCTCCTCCAGGTACTTCTTCTCCCTCTCCTTGATGGTGTTTTCCAAGACGGAGATCATGGCGTTCTTCTGCTCCAGGTCCCTGAGCAATTCTGTGTTCTCCTCTTCCTTCTTCTTCAGCTGCGCCTCCAATTCCTCACACCTCCTTTGTAGCTCCCTGCACCGGACCTCACTGCTGTCTGCATACACAAAAAAATAAATACAGTAACTGCTCAGACCTACAGTGCCTTGCGAAAGTATTCGGCCCCCTTGAACTTTGCAACGTTTTGCCACATTTCAGGCTTCAAACATAAAGATATAAAACTGTAATTTTTTGTGAAGAATCAACAACAAGTGGGACACAATCATGAAGTGGAACGAAATTTATTGGATATTTCAAACGTTTTTAACAAATAAAAAACTGAAAAATTGGCCGTGCAAAATTATTCAGCCCCCTTAAGTTAATACTTTGTAGCGCCACCTTTTGCTGCGATTACAGCTGTAAGTCACTTGGGGTATGTCTCTATCAGTTTTGCACATCAAGAGACTGAAATTTTTGCCCATTCCGCCTTGCAAAACAGCTCGAGCTCAGTGAGGTTGGATAGAGAGCGTTTGTGAACAGCAGTTTTCAGTTCTTCCCACAGATTCTCGATTGGATTCAGGTCTGGACTTTGACTTGGCCATTCTAACACCTGGATATGTTTATTTGTGAACCATTCCAATGTAGATTTTGCTTTATGTTTTGGATCATTGTCTTGTTGGAAGACAAATCTCCGTCCCAGTCTCAGGTCTTTTGCAGACTCCATCAGGTTTCCTTCCAGAATGGTCCTGTATTTGGCTCCATCCATCTTCCCATCAATTTTAACCATCTTCCCGGTCCCTGCTGAAGAAAAGCAGGCCCAAACCAGGATGCTGCCACCACCATGTTTGACAGTGGGGATGGTGTGTTCAGGGTGATCAGCTGTGTTTCTTTTACGCCAAACATAACGTTTTGCATTGTTGCCAAAAAGTTCGATTTTGGTTTCATCTGACCAGAGCACCTTCTTCCACATGTTTGGTGTGTCTCCCAGGTGGCTTGTGGCAAACTTTAAACGACACTTTTTATGGATATCTTTAAGAAATGGCTTTCTTCTTGCCACTCTTCCATAAAGGCCAGATTTGTGCAGTATACGACTGATTGTTGTCCTATGGACAGAGTCTCCCACCTCAGCTGTAGATCTCTGCAGTTCATCCAGAGTGATCATGGGCCTCTTGGCTGCATCTCTGATCAGTCTTCTCCTTGTATGAGCTGAAAGTTTAGAGGGACGGCCAGGTCTTGGTAGATTTGCAGTGGTCTGATACTCCTTCCATTTCAATATTATCGCTTGCACAGTGCTCCTTGGGATGTTTAAAGCTTGGGAAATCTTTTTGTATCCAAATCCGGCTTTAAACTTCTCCACAACAGTATCTCGGACCTGCCTGGTGTGTTCCTTGTTCTTCATGATGCTCTCTGCGCTTTAAACAGACCTCTGAGACTATCACAGTGCAGGTGCATTTATACGGAGACTTGATTACACACAGGTGGATTCTATTTATCATCATTAGTCATTTAGGTCAACATTGGATCATTCAGAGATCCTCACTGAACTTCTGGAGAGAGTTTGCTGCACTGAAAGTAAAGGGGCTGAATAATTTTGCACGCCCAGTTTTTCAGTTTTTTATTTGTTAAAAACGTTTGAAATATCCAATAAATTTCGTTCTACTTCATGATTGTGTCCCACTTGTTGTTGATTCTTCACAAAAAATTACAGTTTTATATCTTTATGTTTGAAGCCTGAAATGTGGCAAAAGGTCGCAAAGTTCAAGGGGGCCGAATACTTTCGCAAGGCACTGTATATGCATGAAGGCATACATGTAGTAAACGGCAAATATAAATATACATAAACAAGTGTGCACAAGGAATACACACCCACAGACACACATTCCCAGGTTGCACTAATCATTGGTACATTAAGCAATGATGCTATGGCGATCCAGAGAGCTCCAGTCTCACATTACAGCTCTGGTAGACAGTTAGGGCATTGCTCTCTACTGACCTTCATCATTGCTGCCCCCACCCTGCCCTGCCCCACCCAATTATAACCTACACAGCCATGTTTGTATATGTACAAAAGCCATAACAATAAATTAGAATTGTGTATTATGCATATAAATGTGTGTATATCACCAAGTGTGTTTTCAGCACATGCTTTACATTTGCTAAACTCACTTTCCTATCAAATACAGTGGTGGTTTCAAAGAGACCAACTACTTTTCCTTAATTTTATGAAGGGGAACTGGTAAATCTTAACCTCGGTTGGAGCACCTGAGTGCTGCTGCACTGAGTAGGCTGCAGGCTGTGCATTAGCACTGTCACAGATAATCTAATTTCCTGCACTCCAATCTCTGAGATGTCCCACACTAACATGATAGTGCCTCTAACTAGAGGTCCTAACAGCATTGCTCAGACCTGGGCCAGTCGACATGCTGAGACACTGGTAAGATGCAATATGCTTCCTGCTCAGTTGCACACATCAGTGGGTGTGACTGTCAGAGGCCTCCCTGACAGGCTGCATACAGCAGCACTGCAGTACTGTTCTGTAGTTCAAACCAGTGCAAAGACAGCGGAACTGGGTCTCAGTCAGACTAGTGTTGTGACTCCATGTCACAGCCATGGTAATGTGGGGGGGGAGGGGCAGTTGGCAGGGAGCTCTAATGAGCAGCAGGGAATCCCACAATGCAGTGCTTCCTGGGTGGGAGTTTGTTAGCAGGAACCAGACAGAGCTGTCTGCTCTCAGCAGGTTTATCCATTGACACAGAAAACAGATTTACATCCTTGGCTGCTGTTCACAATTTGAACCAATTGTGTAAAAATAATGTCCTCCGGGATGTAACTAGAATCTCATTATCAAACCCAGTGACAAAAATTAAGACATTATACCTACAACTGAAGTACTACTTAGGCAATTAAGTAAACACAGTGCAACACGTTTTAATCAGCATTCATGAATTAAACAGCATCATTATATTAACTGTTTCTAAGTTTCCCTTGTAAGACTCATGTCACAGAACAGCATTTCTAGATGAACACACAGACGACAGGGATCACACTCACAAAACCACACCTGAGATCATTAACAGTAATTATATTTCCACAACATTAACACTGATGGATGCTAATGACACTAGACAGAGAATATCAGTGGTAAAACTAATGTGTTTGTGTGTGTGTTCGATCCAGTGTGCCAAAGACTTACCCGAGGGATCAGAGCTTCTCACAGTGAGCTCATATGTCAGGTCTGTGAAAAAAAGAATAGAGTTACACCCACATCAGCTTCACATGAAGTCATAACAGATATCAAAAGCCACTCCTCTCACACAGCCTAAACTGGCAGCGACACATTTGTGGAAGTCATGTCAGTGATTCCTATATGGTGGAGTATTCATTTAACAAGACTAGTGGCCGGTTAGCCAAGGGTACCAAGGCTAAAGCATACAGTGTCCTGTTTTTCTTTAAAGTGGGTGCTCACCTTTGTGATAGAGTATATCTATTACTGATGGTAAGATCAATACAGGTGCAATGTGCAGGGTGTACTTACTAATGCTTGAGTGCCTTTTCCATAAGTCATCATATTCCCTCTAAAATATTTACTAGTGGAGCCCCACAGTTTTGCTAACTCTTGGGCCCAAATACCCATTGAAGTTATACAGCTGTCCCACTAAGGAGTCCAAGAATACAGAATTCTTACTGACATGTATTGTTTGCTCTGTTGCTTTCAGATCTCATCTAGGACATTCTTAAACATGCAGGTTTTCCACAGTAGCATGAAGAGAACAAAGGTAGCTACCTGTGGCCATGCTCACCTGTACACTGCTGTTGTAATCTGCGGATCTCTGCATGTAACCCCTTCA